TTTCTCATATGACCATTAAGTATAAAGGAAAAATCATGACTTTCCCAATTAATGCAACTACTTCTAAAGCATAGATCTGTTTGTTCTAAATGCAATGATTCAGCTGTGGAGTGTAAATTGTTAATGTCTAAAGAAAAACTCCCTGTATTCCTGTCAAGGAAGTTTTTGAGAAATTAAATTAAAATCTAGAGAAGAAAAATTAATGTTAAGAAGATAGATTAGTGCTTAGTACTGGGCAACTTGTTCTTGTTCCTGTGCACAATGGTTTGTGCTCTTACTTTTGTTTGATTAAAAGTAATAACAAATCAACTACTTGCCATAACCATGGCACTGGTTCCAGTCAGTAAGTCAAGAAAGAATAGTCAAGGTATAGGCCAATAGTTTGGGACATTTGTAACTATTATTAAAAGTTAACTAAGCAGAACAGCTCAAAGCAAAACACGAACTGAAAGTACAAATGCTTGCTTATATAAGCCAAGATACATTCTTCTATTCTAATTGTAGCTATGTAATATTTTGTTTTGTTTGAATAATGATTCCTGTTTTGTAACCACAAAGTGCTGTAAGCCTGCCAAAATGTAAAGTATATATGATCGACTTCACAAGTAAAGATTGGGATCAACACCTTCACTTTGGTGTCTGTGTTGTTTCTCCACCCCCTCTTTCGCCGACTCCTCACCATCCGTTCGTCTCCTGAGACCCCCTGTTGGAGCTGGTCTCCGACACCCTGGCAAAGAGGAACAGAACAGTCTTAATTTCCTTAAGCTCATTGATAGTCTCTTCTGGGGTGGCAGGTTGTCACTCAAATCTGGTTTTTAAGAGCAAAGAAACAGAAGGGATGGCTTGGGATAGGCAACTACAATGTCAGCTGGAGGCAGAATACCACTCATCCTCACATCCATTCATTCAAAAATTTATCGAATCCTACTATGGGTTGGAAACAGAGTGGGGAATAAACCAGGAAAAAAAATTCTGTGCCTTCCTGGAACTGACACCTGCTGTGTGCCACGTTCTGGGAATGTAGAGGTGACTGACAGACCGACCTCTTAGACCCCCACGTTGATCTTTTTGTTTGGGGTCCAGGTTGGGTGCACTTTCCCAAAGGGGCTGGGTGCCCTGTGGAGGTTCTCCTGATGTCTTTGTGCCAAACGTCTGTCCTCCCTCTTTCTAACCACAGCAACAAGAAACAGCCACTGCTCTCTTCCCAAGGAGCCCTGGCCCCACAGCTCTGCCCCTGTGTTCTGCATCTTTACTGATCTGGGGAGAGTGGGATGAGGGATATGTTCCCGGGGAGAGCAGTCTCCTGGCCTGTTCCCCACCCCGCTCCCATAACCCTCTTTGCTGGGTGCCTGACATGCGCCATGGGATGTGCCTTGTGTTCTATTGGCCGAGTCTCATTTCAGCCCTCCATGGCCCTACAGGGCAGCACTAGAAATCTTACTTTTTAGCCTCACAGTCATGACACAACTTGATCGCACTGAGTGCATCTCCCTCGCCACTACACAAAAGCGCTTCCCCAGAGAAGGAAACGGCACATCTTACGCAAGAGTCCTGGTTACTCAGTGCTGAGTAACAAATCTCCCCCAAACGTGATGGCTTAAAACAACCACCGTGTTTATTCTCTCACACTTCTGTGGGTTGGCTGGCATGTCTGGGCAGCTCTTTTGCTTTCAGGGCTTGCGGTCGGTCCTCACACAGCTGCTGTGACTGACTGGGAGGTAGGTGGGGGCCTAGGCCTCTCTCTCTCCCTGTAGCCTTGGGATCTGTCCTTGCCTCCTCACTGGTCTCTCCAGCAGGAGCAAAGGCTCCAAAAGTGGGCATCTAAAGAGAGAGAGGAGCACAAGCATCCAGTCTCTATCAAGGCCAAACCCAGAACTGGCACAGATTCCCCTCCACGGCTTCCTATCATTCAGTGCCAGTCACTGGGCCAGCCAAGAGCCAGTGGGGAGGGTCTGCTCATGGGCAGGAATATGGGGTCTGACCAGGCAGGTCCTCTGGACTACCTCTGGGGACTAGCTGCCCCACAGACCCTTAGCATTTGAGCCTCAGCCTTCCACTTACTTACTTGCTAAATTTCTGAGCCACTCACTCAAATCTCAGACCCTCAGTTTTCTGATCTCTAAAATGGGAATTATAACACCTGTTTCACTGGCAGACTGCAAAGCTTAAACAGTGTGAACTCTGTGATTGCGTCTGTCATGGATGCTTTAAATATTGTAGGAGTTCATGTCATATTCCTTTCCCTTCTTTTCTTGGAAAAGGGAATATATATATATATATATATATATATATATATATATGATTATATATAATGATTGAATATACTACTTTTAAGTAGTTACAATGCACACAATAGGGCCTGACACTGGAAGGAAACTAAATACCGATGACCTAGTCGTGTATTTTAAGTTTCTTTAGCTGGCTGTTACCCAGGGAGCAATGACCAGCAGCCAATCCTGCTGCTCTGGGAGATGGCACAGGTAGGAAGTGTCCAGGTGTCTCAGGAGGGAGAACTTACCCAGGCTGGAAACTGCGAAGGAAGGTGTCCTGGAGGACAGGGTGCCCTGCTGAGCCCTGGAGAGTGGGAAGGATTTGGATGGGCAAGAGCACGGAGTGGAGCTTCTACGCAGAAGGACCAGTGTGAACCATAAGCCACTTTAGCAGGGGGACAACAGGGAGGTGGCTGGCTCTGCAGGGACCTGGGGAGAGGAGGATAATCACAGCGCTGTTCAGGGCGAGTTATCCATGCATCATGCTTTTCTAAGCCTGTTACTTGTACAAACCCACATCCTCCTATGATAATCCTGAGCTCAGGTGTTTTGCCCCATTTTACAGAGGGAAAGCGAGGCACAGAGGAACTAAGCAAGTTGCCCGGCACCTGGGAGTGGACTTTGCACCCCAACAGCCTGACTCCAGAATCTGGACTTGCAACCATGTTTGTCTCCACTACTGCTGAGATAGGGTCGAAAGTTTGTAGCAACTTGGCTTTTATACCCCAGGCAATGGAGTACTGAGTCAAGTAATGACACTCTGCAAAGGCACTCAGGAGACACTCAACTATGCTGTCCAACACAGCAGCCACTAACCACGGTGGCCCTTTCAGCTTAAATATAAATTAATGGCAATAAAATTAAATTTAAAAGCCAGTTCCTGGTTCACAGTAGCCACATTTCAAGGGCTCCAGGGCTTCCATGTTGAACAGTGCAGACATAACAATTCCAGAAAGTTCTATTGGCAGTGCTGAGTAAGGAGAGCTGCTAAGATGGCTAAGGGGGTCAGGCAGTTTTGACTGAATGACAAGCCAACCTAGAGGGTACAATGTCAGAGAAGCCTGTGGCTGACAATGGTGAACATGGAATGAGTCCCTGTGCTCATCCATTCATCGGTTTCACAGTATGGAGTGCCCCCTGTGGTCAGGGGCAGTTCCTCTTCACAGGTTTCATAACCCCCAGAGGAAGGAGTGGGGAATCTTCCAAGGACGGAGGTGCATGGTGATGAGAGGAAGGTTTCCTGCAAGGACCAAAGCTTGACCCAAGACCTGAAGGGTCACTAGGCATGGGCCAAGTGGAGAAGGTGGGAAGAAAGGTCCCACTAACGGCAGCAGCTGGTGCAGAGTCGGCAGCATCACCCAGCATGGCAGCCACATAGGGCTCTGGGTGAGGGGAGGGTTGGGGGTGCTTTGTGTAAGGCTGGGGAAAGAAGCAGAGAGGTGAGAAGAAGCCAGGAGAAGATGGCAGAGGGGAAAGGGAGAGAGGGGAAAACAGGAGGAACAGAGAGAGAGGAGGTTGACATTCCACAGAGGCTCCCGGCTCTCCTGGGCTCCCTCCCAGGTCACATGCTGGCTCGGGTTGGCTACGTGCCTCAGCAGTCGCCCAGAGATGGCAGCGTGGAAGGCCTGGTATGGAGTCACACACAGTATGGAGTGCCCACTGTGGTCAGGGAGGTGTGAGATAGTCAAGGCAAGTGGGCAGCCTCACCTCCTCCTTTTGGGAGGGAGGAAGAACATGAACCTCGAGGCTAATAAAGGCACAGAGTTCACACAGGGCGCCCCAGCCCTGGGCAGGCCACAGGTCGCATCTTCTCACCCTTACACATTTACCCCATCTCATAGGAGAAGCGGCTGAAGCTGGATGAGGTGGTGCCCTTGGCCAGAGATGGCACACCCTGTGGCAGGAGGTGGAATATTTCTCTCCAGATCCTCCAACCTCAGTAATTCTGGGAAAGAGTCGGGGAGATGGCTTCCCTTCCTTCAGATCACTTATCACACAGGATGGGTGAGCCTATAAAATAGTCATGAGGTTAAGAAGTCATAGCTGAAATCAAAAAGGGAAGTTTTAGAGGCTATATAAAAAAACCCCAACAGCCTTATTTTGCAATTCTGTATCTCTTGTTACAAAGTTTTATTGCCTAAAATAAGTTAATATTTCCCTTTTGGAGATAATGTTATCATATCTAAATTACTTTGCAGTTTTCCAATTAAGTTAATGTCTAAATCGTGCCTCTAATTAGCCAGGGTGATAAACAGACAACATTGATCTCAGACAGTTGGGTTCAAGTGACAGGCAAAGTCCCCACAGAGGTGGCAGTTTGCCCCTGTGAAATGACCAGTCTCCCTATGAAAGGGTAAAGTTTCTAAGCTGGAAAGCTTGAATTAAAATGTAAAAGATTAGGTATTATTAAGTTCTTCTGTTACACCCAGATTCCTGAGACAGTTAAGACAACACCCTACTGGCCATTTAGCCTAGGGCCCTGTGGCAAACTGCACAAACCGAACCAATCAGTTTGAATGTGTATCCCGCTTAGGAATGACCAATCATCCCCGCCCGACCTGTTCCTGCCAATGAATGTGCCAATCACGTCTCAGAGTTGTGGTTCAATTTTCCTGCGCTTCATGATGATTTGTTCTGATGTATGCAAAGCCCACCGCCCTCTCCAAAAAGTGTACTTAAGCTCTGCTTGAACCTCTGCTGGGGGGCGGGGGGGGGGGCTCTGGGCCCCTCTCCCTTCCTGAGTGAGCCTTGAGCCTCAGCGCACTGAATTAGGATCCTCTTCAATAAACTCCCTCCTGCCCATTGCATGAAGCTGGTCTCTTGTGGTCTCTTTCTTCAACGATTCGCCGGATCCTTACACCTAGAGCTCCTGGAGAGAAAACTGCCCAAACCGAAGGTCCTGAGTTATGCTCTCGGCATTTAAGAGGACCCACTAGTTTTACAAAATCCTCCTGAGCAGCAGAGACTAGTATCATGTTGATTATTGGAGACAGAACAACTAGGAATCCTGGCTCCTGACACAGCTCAGTGAATTCAAAGTCTAATAAGGGAGACGGAAAGGCAAATAATAATGATAAGACAACAATATGCCACACTTAGGAAGTAGAATCAACCAGATTGAAACACAGAGGGTATGATTGGGAGAAAAAAAGAACGTCTTCTTATACCCGAGGTGGAAGGTTTCCATTTCCCATCCTGTACTTTCAAGTTCAGTCTATGACACTTGACAAAGATTCAGTTTAAAAAATGACTCCCAGGTTAGAGCCTGGACTACAACCCCATCATATCTACCTCTTAAGTAATTGTTAAGATTATTCCTCTCTTCCAGCCCACCAACCCCTGTCCTCACTATTTTTAACCTCTTCAGAACAGCCTCCTCATGGGCCTCCCTACCTCCAGTCCCACCCCTTCCAATCCACCTTCCCCACTACCTCCAGGTCACCTGGTTGAGCTTCAAACCTGATCGTGTCACGTGTCACTCTCCTTTGTAAAATTTAAACAGTTGCAGGCACATAGTAGGTTTTCAACAAGTATTTAGTGAATGAATGAAGAAATGCTTGCATGAATGGCCTGCTATATGGTCATTTGGTTTTGGTGTCCTAGGGCTGCCATAGCAAACTACCACAATCAGAGGCTTTAATCAACAGAAATTTATTCTTGGTTCTGGAGAGGCCTGAAGACCAAAATCAAGGTGCCAGCAGGATTGTGCTCCTGTGGACTCTGGGGGAAGATCCTCACTGCTTCTCTCACTCTGCTGATCGCCTGCAGTCCTTGGTGTACCTCGGCTCATAGACACATCACTGATCTCTGCCTTTACTTGCCGTGACATCCTTCCCTCAGTATCTCTGTGTCTCTGTGTCCAAATTTCCCTCTTCCTCTAAGGATGCCAATCATGGGATGGGGGCCCATTCTATTCCAGTGTGACCTTCACCTGATGACATCCGTAAATACCCTGTTTCCAAATATGGTCATATCCACAGATCTCAGGGAGCAGGACTTCACCAGATCTGTTTGAAGGACATTCAGTGGAAAGGGGCTCAGCCTCCACCTTGACAATGTGAAAACCCATTCATGACCCAGGAAAGAATGAGTTCCAGTGCTGAGCAGAAGTGCAGGATGTACAGGGAACCGATCCCACACACATGAGGAGAACTAGGCAATACCTGTCTTCAAGGGAACAGGACGCACAAGATGGGAGAACTCATAATTCTTTTGAATGTGTTGTCTTTTTGATCTAAAGGAGGGCAGAGATTCTCTATATGATCAACAAAGACACCAATTCCTATAGAGGCAGTTTCTGGAGACCTTCCCAAATACATTGCTTGCACTAAAATTCTTGTCTTTGTTGGCTTCTGGGGAACCCAAGTTAAAATGGATTTTTACATGCCCAGACTGGAATGTAAAGATCCTTCTAGTTCTTTTTGCCCCCATCCCCTATGGAAACAAATCTCTATCTTTCTGCTTTCCTGTCGTTGATGCCACTCGGAAGTCCTGAGGACTGATCAGATCATTAGAAGCATCACATATGGGACCAGCTATGTCCTGCTTACTTTCAGTTGAGCTTCAAGGACACAAAGGTTAAGGGACACTGAGAACTGACATCACCAAGACGAATTCCCTGCCCAGGAGCCTGCAATTCATCAGAATGTAAAGAATGTGCAGATGGAATTTAGCCCACAGATCTGCATTTGTTATCGAATGTCTGCAAGCTTGTGTTCCTTTAGGGACATAAATTAAGCCTGTGAGATACATTATCACTGCTGTGGCCTTCCACATAGTTTTCTAATGGAAGTCATTAGAAGTTTGGCCTCCAGAGATAAGAGGCCAGTTCTGTCCAGCCTTGCTCCAGCCTGTGAGTCAGTGACGATACTTCATCCTGCCTGGGCGCCTGCCCATCCCCCTTTTGGCTGGCAAGACCATTCCAGAGGGCTTGGAGGGGTGTCCAGGAAAGGAGGGAGGCCTAGGGTCAGTCCAGCCAGCTGGGAGATGGGGCCAAGCAAATGTTCATTGAATCTTACTATGAGCCAACCATGGGACAGAGATAAAGAGAAGTTGTCTCTCCCGCAGGAAGCTCTCTGAGTAAAATAACCTGAGTGTCCACCAATAGAAGATGGACAAATGAAATGTGGTCCATTCCATGCAGCCATAAAAAGGAATAAAGTGCCCACTAGTGCAGGGATAAAACTTGAAGGCCAGAAGGGAAACAACAGACACAAAACATGACATTGTACGATTCCATTTATATGGCACATCCATAGAAACAGGAAGTCGTTTGGTGGTTGCCAGGGACCAGGGACCAGGGCAGGGAAAGCAAGGACAAATAGAGCCCTGTCAGAGCAAAGTGACTTCTTAAAATCAGACACTAGACTGTGTTCTCCAAAGTCTCTGGCCCCACGAGAAACTGTCTACCTGACACGTTTTTTGGAAATTCCAGGGTCCCACCACCCTGCATGACTCCCTTCTCTTCCTCAAATGACTTACTTCTCACATGGACCAATTCATCCAGCTCTGGGTTTTGGTTAATAAAGCGGTTTACTAATCACTCCCTTGGTGTGTCTCTAATCCCAACCCAAATGGGCCCATGCTGGTATTTTCTAAAGAGAAAGTTTTCAAAAGGAACTCTGGTGCTAGCAGTTGGGAGTTTTTTTTTTTTTTTCCCCCACCATTAAACTAACATTAGTAATTTGGTCAAATTTAATTAATTTTGAACAACTATGATATTGAGCTTGTGGAAAATGACGGGGCCATGAGATTCTTTTTTAAAAACAAGAATATTATTTTTGAACAGGTAATACATTTGCATGTTCAAAAGAGAAAAGTTGGAAAAGGATGGTCCACAAAACAAAAGTTTCCCTCCCTCCTATGTCTCCCAGGTACCTAATTCTTTCCTAGATGATCACTATTGCCAGTATCTGGTATGTTCTTTATGAGATATATCACTCACATTCAAATATTCATGTTTTATACATAATGGGATTAGGCCACATACAGTGTTCCATATTTTGCTTTTTGTTTTAAACTTTTTTTTAGTTGTTGATAGACCTTTATTTTATGTATATATATGTGGTGCTGAGAATCAAACCCAGTGCCTCACACATGCTAGGCAAGTGCTCTACCACTGAGCCCCAGCCCCAGCCCCCCATATTTTGCTTTTTTTTTAGAGAGAGGGGAGAGAGAATTTTAATATTTATTTTTCAGTTTTTCTTTTTTTTAAAAAAAAAGAGTGAGAGAGAGTGAGAAAGAGGGAGAGAGAGAGAGAACTTTAATATTTATTTTTCTGTATTTGGCGGACACAGCATTTTTGTATGTGGTGCTGAGGATCGAACCCGGGCCGCACGCATGCCAGGCGAGCGTGCTACCGTTTGAGCCACATCCCCAGCCCCATATTTTGCTTTTAACATGAACAAGAATCTTAGAGAACCTTCCAAAATTTTATCACTTTTTTTTAAATTGGTGCATTAGAGTTGTACACAATGGTGGGATTTGTTGACACATATTCATTCAAGAACACAGTACAATTTGGCCGATATAGTTCCTCAGTATTTACCCCCACTCTCCTCCCTCCCCCTGTTCCTTTCCTTTATTCTATTGGAGATCCTTCCATATTTGTCTAGGAAGGAGGTTTTGTTTTTGAAAGGGTTTATAGGATATGCCAAACTTTGTTAACCAGTTTTCTATCAGAAAAACTTTTGTCCTGTACAAAATTTTGTAGTGAGTAACCTTACACATGACATTTCACAAATGTATGAAATGATCTGTGGGTAAAATTCCAGAAGTGGACTTGCTGCCTTATAGAGTTTGTGCTTTTAAAATCTTGATAAATATTGCCACACTGCCCGCTATCATATCAATTTATACTTTTCCTCTGCAGGGAGAGAGAAAGCCACATTTAGAGGGGTGTGTTTGGAAATCTTGTCAGGGGCCAGGCTATACAGAGACTTTATACAAAGCTAAGAAGTTCGAATTTGACCATGAACCCTGGAAACCCAGTGAAGGCCTTAGGTAGTAGGTAAGGGTGGGCAGGTCTGTTTTGAATAGTTTATTTTCGTGATGAAATCAAATAAATTTTGTAGGCCATTTTTATTCTCCAGCAAGTGAAAGAGAATGAGTGAAGAGGAGATGAATCAGAAGGGCCCAGTTGTCCACTAGGACGTCAGCCATGAGGGGAGAGGGCCGTTATCACTCGAGCGCAGCTGCTGCTCTGGACAACAGGATGGCAACTGAGCCCTGGGTAGTTTTTTGCTGTCCCATAACTCTTAACTTTCCTGCCAGTTTTCTTGTATCACATATCACCCACATGCTGATGGCTTATCCTGAGACGTCTGGCCCTCAGGTAATGTGTAGAATCAATAGTAAGGAGCTTCTATCAAGCGCCAACAGGTGACCAGATGACAAGCAGACAGGTGATAGAACTGCTTGATCTCTCTGCAGAAGATCTCTGTGAATCAGCCAGCTTCCAAACAGGCCATGAACAAAGAGTGGGGTGAAGCAAAAAAAAAGACACATTCACCTTGAGTCTTTGTTTTTTAAACAAAAAGAGCTGTTGTTGTTCGATGCAAGGAAAGAAGGGATGATGGATGGCAGATGGTTGTAAAGGCCCCCAGAGTATGAAAGGCCCCAGAGCAAGCTCAGCCATCGGTTCCAGCAGTGGTTCCATCATGAGTGTGGCACACTTGCTACTCCTGGGGCTGGCTCTGAGGCTGAGGGCCATCATTGCTAATCGAGAAGAGGGCAGCTTTTGCTCTAAGAGCCAAGTGGCCTTCAGAGATGCTTGTTATGAATTTGTGTCACTTGGACACACCTTCCGTGGTGCCCAGAGCTGGTGCGAAGGGCAGGGAGGCCATTTGGTCTTCATTCGTGATGAAGGTACCCAGCGATTTCTTCAGATGCACATCTCCCAGGACAGAGAATGGTGGATCGGACTCACAGGGACCTCGGTGCACAATGGAACCACAGGAGGTAGGTGCTGTGATAGTTGTTTTATGTGAATCAAATAAAATAATTCACATACAGGACCCAGCACAGAGTCCAGCCACAAAGCTGACAGTCTAGAAATGTCCATTTCTTTGCATGCACTTCTACCCCCACCAGTGCTGGGGATTGAACCTAAGGCCTCACACATGCTGGCAATCACTCTACCCCTGAGCTGCATCCCCAGCTCTGCATGTACCTAATTTTAATGCCAGTTAGAACTTCTTCAGTTTCTTGCTAGAATGATGCTGGACACTATCCTGAGTGCTTCATGGCCATTATCATGCTGATCCATACGATAAAAATGAGAAAATTGTCATTCTCCTCATTTTACAAATGAGAAAACAGTCTCCCAAAATAATGAGATAGCTATTTTCAAAGTGCATTCAATGCTTTTCCCCAGTTGTTAGGAAATGAAAGCAGGCCAAGTGCTCAGCACAGCGCTGTTCACATTAGATGGTCTCATCTTAATGGTCCTTTTAGAGACTATCTCTGCTCTCATGTGTGGGGCTCCTGCTGCATCCTGGCACAGTTGTGAACTTCTGTTTCAAACATAATTTACATGCAGCTAAGGGAGCCAGGTCTACTAAGGTCCCCTAAGGGATACTGTATAGCAGTTTCAGAAAATGATGTAGGTCTACTAGGTTGATATGTAGCAACCTGCAAGATGTAATGTTAGTTGTGAAAGAGGAGCTGGAACACTGTGAGCAATATGATACTGTTTACACAATTGGATTTCAGGCACTCATAAATACTGATATGTGCTTAAGATTCATTAGGAACAGTTTACAAAAAAAACCTAATAGTGGGAGCAGTTTTGTAGGTTGGGAGAGGGAAGATATTTGCATTTTGCACCACTTTATAGCACTTGAAGCTTTAAAAAATTGTTGCATGGATTTTATTTATTTATTTATTTATTTATTTATTTATTTATTTAATAATTATACTCTCCAAGTCTTACTAGTAAATTTTTCTTATATTTTAGAGCTCACGGATATCTTTGAGACTCTTCTCTCTCTCTCTCTCTCTCTCTCTCTCTCTCTCTCTCTCTCTCTCTCTCTCTCTCTCTCT